AAGATGATAGGAAGAAAATCAATTCATTTGAGATAATGTGATGCTGGAAAAGAGTGCTGGGGATCCCATGAATAGCCAAAAGGACAAAAAAGTGGGTCCTAGAGCAGATCAAGCCAGAGATATATCCCTAGAAGCCAAGATGACTACTAAACTGAGGGCCTGAACACACTGTGAGAAATAATGCAGCTTGAGATCATTTTAATTGTCCTGGCTCAATGCTAGGGAATCATGGGAATTGTAGTTTTTTTTTCTGAGACATTGAGTCTTCTCCGTCAGAGAGCTCTGGTGCCACAATAAACTACAGTTCCCATGATTCCCTAGCACTGAGCCAGGGCGGTTAAAGTGGACTCAAGCTGCATTATTTCTGGTAGTCTGTTCAGGCCCTGAGGCTGTCATGCTTCGGACACATCTTGAGAAGAGAGGACTCTTTGGAAGAAAAAACCACAACAATAATGCTGGGAAAGGTGGAGGGAAGTAGAGAGAGAGGAAGGCCACATGCCAGATGGATGGACTCTATTAAGGAGGTCAAGGACTCTATTAATTAAGGGGTTGAAGGAATTAAGCAGAGCAGTGGAGGACAGAGGGACTTGGGGATATCTCATCCATAGGGTTGCAATGAGTAGAGAGCCACTTGAGGGCATTTAACAATAATAAAAGGCCAATCTGTCAAGGGCTTTGCTTGGCGAGAGTTGTTCAGAGGAGGTTTGCCTTTGCTTTCCCCTGAGGCTGAGAAAATGTGACTCCCCCAGGGTCACCTAGTGCGTTATCCATGGCCGAGCAGGGGATCGAACCCGCCAGCTCCAGAGTCCTAGTCCAGCGCTCAAACCATTAGGCCACAGCGGCCCCTTTGATTTTTCTAACGGAAGAAAGGGGCGGGGACGAACGAACGAACTCTGTCCCCCGCCCCCTGCGATAGACCGGTCGCGCGCCCCTCACGCGGCAGCGCGCATGCTCACAAGTGTCCGCGGTCCGTGCGCATGCAAAGGGCCTTCTTTGGCCGTCCGTTGGGCGACTGCCACTCCTGCGGTGACGTCACGGGAGGGTGAGCTTCTCTGCGGCTCCTGAGGGGAAACAGTAGTGTCTCTGAGGCGGTAGAAGCAGCAGCAGCAGGAGGAGGAGAGAAGGAGCGCGGTTGAGGCGGACAGGTAAGGCGATGGGAAGGGAAGGATGGAGGGACGGAGACCCCGGGAAGGTGAGGAGGGGATGCTCTGCCCACCTTCACCTTTGCCTCGGAGCCCATTCGTGGCGGCTGGAGGTTTTGGTGGGAGCCCACAAGGGTCCTGGGCACAAAATGTCGTCTCTTGGGAGACTCTGTATGGCGCAGTCCCTTTTTTTGCGGCAAGGGTTGTTATCTCCAAAGGTGTGGGTCAGATATTGACCAGAAAGGAGGCTGCAGCCAAGGGCTAGGGATGGAGGGAGGGAGGGAGGGCAGCCATGGAAGAAGTAAAGAGTAAAGATGTACAACTGAGCATGAGCACTAAAGCTAGAATCGTCCAGTATATTGTATTCTCCATCCCCATGGATGGATGTGAGAAATGGACATTAAGAAAGACGATAGGAAGAAAATCAATGCATTTGAGAGAATGTGGTGCTGGAGGAGAGGGCTGAGGATCCCATGGACAGCCAAAGGGACAAACAAATGGGCCCTAGAGCAGATCATTGTCATTTTTTGGTTTAGATAATTTGGTTTTATTTAATTTTTATGTTATTCAGATGTTTTAATTGTGTTTAGTTTAATACTTTTTTAAAGGGGGGTGGTGGTATTAGTCTAGGATTTTATACTATGTATTTTTATTGTTGTTAGCCGCCCCGATTGTGCTCAGAAGGGCGGAATATAAATAAAATTTTGTTGTTGTTGTTGTTGTTGTTATTATTATTATTATTATTATTATTATTATTATTATTATTATTATTATTATTATTATATGAAGTGGAAACCTCCCTGGAAGCCAAGATGGACAAACTGAAGCTGTCGTTCTTTGGTCACATAAGAAGAAGGCATGATTCCTTCAAAAAAAACAAAAAAACAATAATGCTAGGAAAGGTGGGAGGCAGTAGAAAGAAAGGGACACCACCCACCAGATGGCTAAACTCAATTAGGGAGGTTACGGGCATTAATCTACAAGATTTACGTAGAGCAATGGAGGATGGGGGCTTGGAGATGTCTCATCCACAGGTTCACCATGAGTCAGGATCGACTGGAAGGCACTTAACAACAACAAATTTCAACCATGTTCTCTTCCTCACGAAGCTGGTCTTTCATATCTCTCTTTTTTCAATAAGGACGCCACAACAGGACTTGAGGACAGCCTCTTTAGTCTGTCCCCTCCACCTCTAGTACTGTTTGGATATGCCCAAATTGTTGGATAGCTTTCTTCATCTCAGGGCAGTACCAGCTCTGCGATCCCATGTACAAAAATCCCTTTTATAAAGGGTGGTGCGATGGGTTGGAGAGATCTGCCATTTCTTAGCTGAAGAGGCAAAAATAGGTGAGGCATTTCAATTCAGGGTTGGTAGTTCTTTGGGTGAAAGGCTAAACTGCAAAATGTTGACCAGCGACCTCCCACTGATCTTTTCCCTCCTCCTTTTTTGCTTGCCTGCAAAATGAAAACCAGGGCTGTGAAGCCCACTGGGTGGCCTTGGGAAAGTCACATGCTCTCAGCCTCAGGGGAAGGCAATGGCAAATATTCTCTGAACAAATCTTGCCAAGGAGACCCCATGTCTAGGATCACCGTAAGTTGGAAAGGACTTGAATACACACAGTTCAAACCAGGGTTGGTATTTCTTTGGTTGAAAGGCTAACATTCAAAATGTTGATCAGCAATCTCCAAGTTGTCTTCCCCTTCCCCTTTTCGTTGGTCTGAGTACTGAAGACAAAACTACTCCCCAGAGGTAGGCAATCTTTCCCCTTTAAGGGCGGAGGGACTTCAGCTCCCAGAATCCCAGGATCTATTGGCCAACATGGCTGAGGCTTCTGGGAGCGGAAGTCCCTCGGCCCTTAAAGGGGAAAGGTTGCCTACCCCTCCCCTACATTATCCCTCTGCCATGAAGCTCCCTAGGTCACCTTGGTCAAGTCAGCCTCCCTGGTCTAACTTATCCCACAAGGTTGTCACAGAGATAAAACTGGGTGTGGGTGAGGAGAGAATATATGTGCTGCCCTCAGAGTGGGATCAAATGAGCCCTGTAACTGCAGTGTATTAATGTCCAGCCAGCTGAGCAGATACAGGAGAGCAGCTCGTAGTTTTTATTGTTGAGGAAATATTACAAAATGATAGGTAAAATCCACTGCAAAGTCCATACCAGTCTGGATTCAATTTTATTACCACAAATTGTGTAAGAATATAAAAAAGTGCCACTGCAGGTTCACATGTTCTGGCATTATTTTGAATTCTTTGTGTCTGTTTCATAGAATCATAGCATTGGAAGACACCTGAAGGGCCATCCAATTCAACCCCTGCAATGTAGGAATATACAATCAAAGCATTCCCAACAGATGGCCATCTAGCCTCTGTTAAAAAAAAGATTTTAACTGTTATTTGTTATTAACAATGCTTTTACTGTGCCCTTCCTCCACAAGGTTTTGATGGGACTGCTTCTCTGCAGCCGTTCCTTATCTGGTAGTAGGTAATGTTCCTGGTGTTGATCCTGCTTGAAATGTGTACAGTTTCTGAATAAGAATGACCTTTCTGACACTCTTAGCTCTGGGTCAATCTCACTTCCTGGATTCCTCTGCAGCTTGTTCCCTGGCCAGATCCCACTTCCTCCTTTCCTTCAGGTTGAGATGAATGTTTCTACCTTTCATCTGTTTCACACTGCAAGAAAATACAAACCCCATACCACATCCTGTTCTACTTTTAGATGATGGGTAAGATGCTCATTTGTTAAATATAGTCTAGGTGCTTTCATGAATTGCAGTGACTGGATGAGTAATCTATGTCAGGTTCTCTACTGTCTCTCTTAACCCAGTTAAAGCTTTATTTATAGGGAGCCACTCTGAAATTTTATCAGTGTACTTCAGCAAAGATATAGCAAAGATATAGCAATTACATGGGTCACATTATAGTCTTCCTCTTTGCCTTCCCGTTTGTTGTATGTCTCTTATTTTATATAGTTTCTGCAGGACTTCATTGGTTGTGCCCATATTATTTGTTCATTTATTTGTTTCAACCTAGTGCTGGGAAAAGTAGAAGGCAGTAGCAAAAGTGGAAGACTATATTACAGAAAGATTGATTCAGTTAAGGAGGTTACAGCCCTGCATTTGCAAGACCTGAGCAGGATTGTTGATGTGCAGGGTTCATGGAGTTCGCTCATTCATAGGATTGGTATACATCAAAAGTCAACCTGATGATAAATAGGAAATATCCTCATCTTTGGTGCTGAGAGCGTGCCATTGGGATTTTTTTTACCTTGGGCACAAAAATGTCTTCTACTGACCCTAATGACCTGAAGGATTTAGACATACTTATATAATAGCAGTATGATTTCCATATAACTAGATGTTTCACAATTTCACTTGGTTCCTAGTTATGCCTGCTCTCATTAAGATTGTTGTGATGGAGTTCCAACTGTCAGATTAGGTTAACACAAATAAGTGACGACAGCTGGCTTCCAGGAAAACTCTGAAGAACTCAAATCTTCTCTTGCCTTTAAAATGGGACATTGCAGCCCTGTATTGCAGTTGCTGTAGGAAGGTATTAAAAATTCTTAATGAAGAAGTGCCTGTACAACTAAGACTTTAAAGTTAAAAATTAATTGTTGTTCCTAACCGGAGGAGTCAATAGGAACTTGCTAGGTAACTTCCATTGGTTTAATGGATCTTCTTTAGTTGGGACTAACAGTTGGATTTAGGCATAGACAGGAAAGTTCAGCTTTGGAGCATGTAAAAACAAAAAGCCTTCGCTCCCCCTCCCCCATCTAAGAAATATACACAATACACATATGCACACACAGACATGCAGATACTATTACAGGGCATTTTGTTCTGCAATAGGACTAAATATTCATGCAGGAGCTGAATATTGTTGCCATATGGTATGACAGAAATGTTCTAGCCATCTCTTGATGGGGCTATGGTGGGTGCCTGGCCACTTAGAAGAATAAAGCTCACCATGATCTGGATCACATAGGCCTCAAGAAACCTGTTTCAATCATAGGCAGTCAGAGCAGTCATGCTGGAGGGGTGACCTAGTGACACCCTAGGGAGAAGTTGACCTTCAACTGTGTCCAAATGGTGGTTTCGGATCCTGTTTTGTTTTGCCTAAATGGCATTTAAACAAACTACAGTCTTAGATGTCTGGACATCTCAGAGAAGTATTGTTGGTTTAAAACACACTTTTGATCCTTTAGAGCACAAAAGAGAAGACTGTATGTGCCAAAATTAATTCTGGATAGGAAACTAGGATTATGTCTGAAACAAATCATGGTGGAACAATAAATATGGATATGTATTACTTCCCCTTGTGGACTAGCAGAAGTCAACATGAGCACTAGCTAAAGTTTAAGATGTTACTGAGTTTGCCAGGATTACATGTGTTGGACTTTGTCCCTGTATGTTTCCCCACACAATGTATAAAAGAGTTGGGTGTCGTCCCGTTTCCCCCCCCCCCCAATCTTCAAGGAAAATAGCCATCTGAAAGGTCCCTGGACCTTCACTCTTAATTGAATGTTTTCTGAAATACATAACATAATTTTGCTCTTATGTACATAGTTTCATACATAATAAAAAGGTAATGCATAGAGCCAGTGTGGCTAGTGGTTTGAGTATTGGACTACAATTCTAGAGACCAGGGTTCAATTTTTCAGCTGCTGGATGACCTTGGGCGAGTCACATGCTCTCAGCTTCAG